CAGGATCCGGCCTCGCTGCGCCGTCCCCGGGGGAGGGGGGAGCGGGCCGGAGCGGGGGGCCGGTGGGATGGGGGCTGCCATGCCGGTGGTCCACGGGGCAGCTCTGGGTGCCACGGGAAGGGGCCAGGCGGGTGGCAGCGGTGGCCTCAGCGACGTCCCCTGCTCCCGGACATCCCACAGTGGCTGTCATCACCCGTGGGGTGGCCCTTGCGGCGTGGGGGTCCCTTCGAGGTCGCACCTGGGACCAGTCTCCTCCGTGGCCGCCACCGCGGCCGCCATCGCCTCGCTGGAGATGCCGGGTGCCTTCGTCATCGTCCTCCTCGCCTCGGCCGCCGCGTGGGTCCCTCTGCTCTAAGGCACTGCCTGGTTACAACTGGTTTCTTAACCATTCCTTAAAGCACAGAATTAATCTTAGCAGTCTTTTCTGTTTTGTTTTTTGTTTTTTTTTTCTTTTTGTTCCTAAGTGTTTTTTTCTTTTCTCTTTTCTTGGCATGTTTTAAAAATATGTGCAATTAAAGCAGGGGATTATTAAATTAAATTATTTTTTCAAAACCATATAGGGAACTAATGACAGGATTCAAAAGGAAACTTGAGAAATTCAAGTGCTAAATTTAACTTCAGATGTTGAATTTTTCCATGTATTTGTACAGAATACATTTTTTATTTTTTACAATATAACAGTATATCTTTAGGCCTTCCTATCCTGCCCAGGAAAAGGATTTAATTTTTCTTTTCTTCTTTTTCTTTTTTTTTTTTTGACGATTCCCTCTTAAAAGTGCATTTCCTACAAAATGTGCAACACGAGCGCACCCTCTCCTCGCCATCCACCTGGTACCTGTCCACAGGAATGCATAGCTCAGACACACGGACGCACGCCCCCCGCCACGGCCCCCGCGGACTCCCCCGGGCGCGGGGACACGCAGGGACACGCAGGGACACACGTGGGGACGCGTGGGGACAGGGCCGGTGCACGGCGAGGGGCGAGGAAGGCATTGCGGAGAGATGGCGACCGGTGCCCGGCGCGATGGTGGCAGCCCGGCTCCCGCTGGTGCCGTGGTGGGAGCGTCCCCACGCTGTGTCCCCACGGGAATCGGGGTGCCACCGCTGCTGTGACCGTCTCCAGCCGTGCCCACGCACCCTCCGTAGCCCCAAGCCCCATCCTCCTGTGACAGCCGCTCGCGCCAAGCCGAGCCGGCCACCGTGCCACCGCGCCACCACATCACCGCATCACCACCTCACCGTGTCACCGCGACACGGCGTCACCCATCCCCAAGGCGCTTTGACGGCACGGAGCATCACGTCGCCCCGACGGCGAGTGCGACCGCAGCCGTTGGGAACCGGCGGCGGGAGGCGTAACCCCACCCCCCCACGTCCCAACCCGGGCA